ATGAGCCAAGTAGCCTTTGCCAGAGGAACATCCCATCCCCTCTCAACTTCAAGAAAGAGCCCTAAACCCTAAACCCTAAACCGTGACCACTACCAGTACCTGTTTGTATCGGCTAGCAGAAGCCACACTTTTCAGAAGTCCCTGGCCTGGTGAAATCCAGTAACTCTAAGCCAAATCCATCCGGAACCTTTCCTTTCACGTTTTGTGACGCTCATGTTGACGACCTGTAGTGTCTAGTAATCAGCTTAAGCTGTACGTGTATGTCTGTATGCATGCGTTTCGAAGTATGTAAGGTATGCTTATACATTACGTCATCATATCATGTGTTTATACTTACCGCTAATATTACTACTTTTACTATTATTGTGAGTATCATTTCACGCATAATCTATCCCCGGAGTAAAAGTGCATTCTAAAACACTGACATTCCTACTGTGGCAAGAGACGCTGCGCTGTGTTCCCTAAACCTTAAACCCTAAACCCCAAAACCCTAAACCCTAAAACACCAAAATAAAAACTTGTTTCCTACAGACATGAGGCCCCGGCTGTACATTGCTGAATCTGGCTGCAGCCCCTGCACGTACGCCGGGCAAATCGTAAATCCTAAACCCTACCTCCCTTTTTAAGGACATATAGTACGAGGAAACCATAATAAGGAAGCCCTACAAAGGCGGGTTCTTTTAGGTCCAGGTAAACCCTACATCTGTGAAGCCGAAGCTTGAAAGGATTTAGGTTTCAGGCGTCTGCCAGAAGTCGGGTTCTGAGAAGAGAATGAAACAGAAATAGTGGCATACAGTAGTGGTAGCATTAGAATAGGGTAGACCAAATTATGATTATAAAGAGGATCCCTGAGGAGTACTGTGGGTATCTATTCAGCGGTTTGGGTCCATGGGCGGTTCTCCAAATCAGGGTTTGGCGGTTGGGGTTGGGTTTATCGGGTTTGGGGTTCGGGGTTTATGGGCTTAGGGTTGCATATATGCCATCCTCGGTACGCGAAGAGTGCGTCGTCTCTTGCGAATCAGAAGACACTCTGTTGTAGAGAAGTATCCTGATGCCTTTGGGCACTTGGGGGGGGGGGTATATTATGCTACACTTATTATGATAAGGAGCCCTAAGAAACAGGAATTGGTAAAAAGGCGCCTAAACCCTACGGCTAAACACTTATCAACACAACCTGGCAAGAACCCTTGTACACCCTTTACAGGATCAGGGCTTGATTGCTCAAAACGAGGGCCATCTGTGATGCGCACGGCTTTCGTACATCGTAAGACCAAGGTGCATGCTAAAGCCGAACACTCATGTACCATATATGGGTAGTTCTCTAAATTAGAGTCCCTTTCAGGGTCCTTTTTATAAGGGTGCCGTACTATATTGGGGACCGAAAAAGGGACCCTGACTTAGAGAACTACCCATATACATTAGGAAGGCTTCCGACCCTACTCGCCCAAACTATGTTCAATTTTCACAGCCTGCAAGGTCGCTAGGAAGCCACTCACGCTCAAGCCAATTCAACAGACAGTTCAAGCAAGAACCAAACATGTCATTGTCTCCCGTGCCAAGAACGACGGTTGCTCTTAGTTACTGCTCAGTAGAGGCCCTGAACCCCTAACCCTAAACCCTTTTCTCTTGGGGGCAGCTGCCGGCCATGGCTGCATAAGATGCTCACAAAGTTGGCAAAACTTGCAGAGTTAAAACTTTGACGGAACCAGCATCGAAGCTTCAAGCCAGCTCGCACCGCGGGCGCGGCGATCCCAGCAGGAGACTTGCCAACTTTTTGGTTAGATTCTAGGGTTTAGGGTTTAGGGTTTTTGAACAGCTATCAATCAAAACTGTATCAAGGGTCAGCTGGTTCCTTACACCTTCACACCCAGGAAAAAACGGGTCGCACTGAATGGGCACACCGAGCCGAGAAGATGCTTCAGAATCTTCGAAAGAGCACGGGCTCTGGAGATCGAAAAGACGGATGCATGTCATGCTGAAAGATCCCTGCACACCTCTGTAGGGCTCCAGGTAGCTGAATATCAAAAGTCAGTAGGTATACCGGTATACTTACCATGTATTATGTAACCCAGTAGCTATAAGCCTTGAACCCTAAACCTTCAACCGTAAACCCTGGCCATGACGCCATGATTCAGGCAATTGGAGCTCCAAAGGAACCCTTCAAAGAACCCTTGAAGGAACCCGAAGAGGACGGCAAAGCCAGGCCTGGTGCCATTCTGTGCTGAAGGCGTCCCAGGTGCCAAGTTGTCAAATCCAGCTACAAAGCCTCTACGGTTCAGGTTTTCGACTCTCACTCTCGCAGAATGCAGGCAGGGCACTGCGGCACCATATAGTTCCTTTAGAGTGTAGGGTTTAGGGTCCGTCGAAGCCCAGTTACCTAGACAGCGGATAGTGGATGACTTCAGTGTACTTGTATTAGTAGGACACTTTGAGAAACCTACTGGATACTGGATGACTACATTGTAGCTCTATGAGAGAGAGTAACCTTCTAGATATAGTAAGCAGTTAGGCTTCCAGAGCTTCCTGCCTCGCAGAACCGGCCAACGGCAGAATCCCGACAGGAGTTCAGCGATGGTTAGAAACTCCAGACATTTTCAGAAACAGACATCCGCGAATCCGAAGCACCACGGCACTGAGGTGCTTGATTTGGGGTTTCTATGTTCGTGCCACTCCGGCCAATAGATGGAGTCATGCGCCACGAGTTTGGCTCAGATGTCAGGAACAGAATTGCGAAGCTGGGCTGTAGATCAACGAACCAATATGCCCGTGGGACGGTTAAGGGACCCAAGTACGAACCTTATCAAGTACACTTGGAGGGTCATGGGCAAATATAAGTGGGGGATAACTATAGTTATAACCCATTCTAGTGGACTTATAACCCCACATATAGCTACCCATTTTGAAAACCCCGCATGAACCCCTCGCGTGCGAGAGGCTGCAGTTCTCGCACCGCATCTTCGGAACTCTGGGTAGCAACGGCCATACTGGGTTTAGGGGTTTAGGGTTTAGGGTGCAACATGCCACTGGAGGGTTTGTGGTCTGAAGCTTATAGTGTTTAGGAATCCATCGCGAAATGCGATCCAAATTCGTGATAAACCTGTGTTGAAAACGCTGAACTTCCGGTCGGGTGACCTTTGCGTCACTCTTGCTCGTGCGGCGCCGCAGGGCAAGCTGCCTGGCAATATCTTGCGCTGTGCTTGATGCCATGATCCTTTTCGGGGAGTGCCTAAATTCAGGGTCCTATGCTATAGCGGTTCACGCATGTGAGGATCACATGTTCTATGTTCTTCCGGTGGCAGCATCCTTTAGGGGGTTTCGACTCACAGACTCGCGCTCGGCAGGCACGGCTTCATGAGGTCTGCTTAGGGGTTTAGGGTTTTAGGGCTTGTAGCTTCGGGTTTAAAGTTAAAGGCTTTAACTCTTGGAGCCTGGTACGGTCTACTGCCCCTCCACTTTTTTTCCGGAGTCGAAGTCTGAAGGGGCACTTTGCCGAAAACACCGAGGAAATTGAGAACTGAATCCTCCGGCTCTGGTGAACCGCAAACCCTACTTGGACGTTCATGGGTAGTTAGAGTTGAGGTTATAAGTCCCGACATAAACGCCTAAAATTTGGTATCATAATGGCCCAAACCCTGTAAACGGCTGTGAATTATTCTACATACTTTTGGGGCCCAGGTAAAATATGGGTTATAGTTACAGGTACCTTACTTTACTTATAACGTCAGTCATCACTATCAATGAACCTCCAAGCACCAGCCCAAAGCACCAGAAACCCTACAATCCGTAACCCTTAGAATCCTATAACAAGCCTTGGACGCCATACCCCAGAAAGACCCGGAGCGTGATAAACGCAACAGGTACAAAAATGCCTGGAGGAAATAAGGAATCTTGAAGAATGTTTAGTCTTAAGTTCTTCCTAAACCCTCATAGATCCCCTACACAAATCAACACAACTTGTGGTTCTTTTTGCAAACCCGGTAACCTCCCGACTCGGGTCGGCCCATGGGACCCAGGAAGTGGCGTTCTCAGCCCTTGGCGCGCCTTGGTCGGCTGAAATCCCATAAAAGCCCGTGTGCAAACTTAGACTTACTTCGGAATTTAGGGTGTGCGTTGATTTCGGAATTCGGGTTTCGCGTTTGTCTCTGTTGTTCGGGTTTAGAGTTCAGGGTTGCAAGGGCTTGACTTCGTGTTTTTGTGCGCGGGAGTAGAGACATGTTTGGACGCTCACAGTCGGGCGATCCGACAAGGCTTGCGGCAAAGCTTGAACTGCAGAGTTTGCATGAGCTTTTTCCGACCAGGGGCTCCATATTCACTTATACGAAGTGCTGTCAGGAACAGGGTTGAAGATGCTACGCTGCATTCAAGAAAGCTTACCTAGACCCTCAAGCCTCTTGTTCTCACTACCTCATGTCAGGATCCTGACGAAACTGGCTATCAATAAGGAGAAGCTGCATCAGAGTGTGCCGCTACTGCAAAGGGGGTATAGAGGGCCAAGACCGATTATGTCTGAAGTCAAGACTGCTTATAATCGTCTTGGCTTAAGCGTGTCGAGGTTGAAACTCGTAAAAAGGGGCCTTAACAATTAGAACAGGGTTTTGGGCCATATCATACATAATTGAAAAAAGGAGTCACCCCAGTAGTATTGGTGATTAGTCAGGCCCTATATTACTGTAAGTCGCTATAAGCTTCGTCCACAACTGTGGCGAGCAAGCTATGACAGTTCATGTCTGCTAAGGCTAATGTTAGCAATTGGTGTCCCCGATAGAGAAGCCTGAATACTTACACACACTGCTCCGTACTTGGAGGTTCATGGGTAGTTATAAGTAGGGTTATAAGTCCCCTAATATGGGTTATAACTATAGTTCTCCTACTTCTAACCCCACTTATAACTACCCCATGAACCTCCAAGTAGGATGCCCTGTTTATCAAGGCCGCCGCTCTCAACCCTCGACCCAGCTAGTGTCTAGGTATATATGGAGCCCGTGTCTGGAGGAAGCTGGGCTGAGCACATGCCAATCGCAACAAGAAAGGGTTCAGCCCATGAATCCCAAAATGCGAAGCTTTAGTCCTGAAGAGCACTGGGACCGTTATTGCTACCGGTCGTGATTCAATCTCTGCAATTCGCAATGACCAGAACGCCACTGAACCCAAACACAAAGCCTTACACCGATAACATCCACACTCCAGCCTTGAACCCAGAGACTCCAAAATCCCTTAATTAAGGAATATACCTTAAACTAAAATAGGAATCCTTATATGATTTAAGGTTATTCCTTAATTAAGAGGTTTTGGAGTCTCTGCAAACCATTCAACCTGAACTCTTGTGCGATTCCAGCTGTCGGCAAGAGAGAGAGGCCACGTTAGTCGAGCTGCTGCAAGGTGAACCTTGGCAACCGGTCCCACTGGCATTTATTGAGCTTAGGGGTTTAGCGTTTAGGGCTTAGGATCAAGGGGCTTGGGTTCTGGAGTGTCAGTAAGGGTTTGTGCTGTAGGATTGCAGGGTTTGGGGCGACGCAAACACGTTAGTCCTAGATGAGTCTGAGTCCTTACCAAGACATCTCAAACCATCAAGGAAAACCCTCTGGGGAACCTTTAATGCTGAACACTGAATGCCTTGGTCACTACTTCTGGCTCAGTTTGGGAATTTCAAGGGTTCAGCATGAAACACCAAACCATCAGAGGCCTTAAATACAAACCCCCAACCCCAAAACCGCAACGAAAAACCTTAATCCCAAAGCCCTGAACCTCAAAACTCAAACACTAAACCTTCAAGCCTTCGAACGTTAAGCCCTAAACCCTGAACCGGCAACTCCCCAGCCCTAAACCTTAAACCCTCCACCACCGAACCTCAAGCCCCAGGCCTTCAGTCTGCAAGGGTTTCACGCTTAGGGTGTAGAGATGTTTATACAGGGTTTAGGGTTTTGGGTTTTGGGCTTAGGGTTTAGGGTTTTTGGGCTTTAGGGCTTTAGGGTTTTAGGGTTTGGGGTTTTGGGCTGAGGGTTTGGGTTTGTTTTGTCTCCTGGGGTTTCGAGCATAGGGTTTAGAGTACATGATGCCGAGGTCCCTAGACAAGCAGGCCTCTACAAAGTGCTTACGCTCTCACAACTCGGACTCTACGAAAGTGTTTCGGGTTTCGTGAGGCACTTAAACAGGGAATCCGCAATAATGAGAGTTTCCCAGAACTTGTCCGAAGGCCACTGGAGCCGAAGAGCTTCTCCTACCCCTAGATTTTGCCCTAAACCCTAAACCCTAAACCCCAGGGTTTAGAGTTTAGGGTTTAAGGGTCTTTCTTTCCGTCGTCTTCTGATCTAGAAGCCTCAATCGTGATCAATATGCCTCATGCCCAGGGCTCCTTCTATTCTATTTATAGTAGAATCTCCCCCCCCCCCCCGCCCCTTAATATAGGGGCCATAATAGTTAGGATAGGGTTTGGGGGTATATGATGCCATAGTTATGACAAGGAACGCCCAGAATAGTATAGGTAAGTATTAAGGCCCTTAGACACTGAAGGCCTAAAGGCCCCTAAACCCTAAACCCTAAACCCTAGACCCTAAACCCTAGACCCTAAACCCTAAACCCTAAACCCTAGACCCTAAACCCTAAACCCTGAACCCTAAACAGAGTCAGCAGCGAGTGAGTGAGTGGCAACGTACAGAAGCACTAGGTGCGCAGAAGGTCCCTAAACCCTAAACCCTAAACCCTAAACCGTTTGTGAGCATGCCGTGACGGCGGACTGTGAGCCTTGGAGCCGTGAAGGCTCGGAAGTCCTCGAAATGAGGTTTAGGGTTTAGGGTTTAGGGTTCAGGGTTCAGGGTTTAGGGTTTAGGGTTTAGGGGAGTTTGTCTCTTTCCATCCTGGATTCGTGTGCAGCTTGAGGTCTGGGAAGGAGTAGTTGTCGTTTTGCTTTGATAGACCCTGCATCGTAGGTTCGTCCTAGCCAGGCGGGAGGCAACAAAAAAACAAAAAAAAACTAAGCCCTAAACCCTATATTGTTCCTCAACTCGGGCTCGTGATGCCATGCGGCTGGAAGGTCTGGCGGCATGGTGCGCTCATGCGGACAGTGAGGATCAGCTCCTGACGAGGGTTTAGGGTTTAGGGTTTTAGGGTTTAGGGTTTTAGGGTTTAGGGTTTAGGGTTTAGGGTTTTAGGGTTTAGGGGTTTAGGGTTTAGGGTTAAGGGGCTTTTTGGGCCTAGCTGAGCCTCCAATGATCCCATGTTACCGTGCTCACGATCGATGGGATGGAGGAACCCTAAACCCTGGAGGTAATTCTCGAACCCTCATTTCTGAAGCACCCAAAAATAAAATCCTAACACCCAGGTTGGACCTGGGGTCTGAAGCAAACACGAAAACCCTTTTCAATTTCAGCGTCCTCTCCCGCCGACACCTTAAACGGCGACGGCGCGGCCTTGCGCTCGCCTGAAAGAATCTTTGCAGAGATTAGGTACAGACGAAAACCTGCGTTTGTGTTTGTGTGCATGCATGTGTACGAAAAGGCTTCAACACAAACACACACACACACACATCGATGTGTTTGTGTGAGCGTAACGCCTACACGCCGGGATGGCTTCAGCTGTCTGCTATCTAGACAAAGATCGTGGATTAGCAGATAAAGAAAGAACTGAAACTAACTGTTTAGGGCCCAGAAGAAGTGCGTATGTGGCAAGACGCTATAGTAGGAAGCAGTTGTGTATGGCAACGGCTTACCACTCACCTGGTCGGTAGTTTTTTGCAAACATACGCACTATGGTCACCATGGCCGAAGGCATTGAGAGAGCAAGAATCTCATCTGAAAAACAGCTTGTCTCCTGTCGACCGAGACTGTGACAGGTCGCTTCACTGGGGCTCGGGCTGCCAGCAGAGCTGGCCAAGTCGAAGTCTTCGATCAGCTGCAGGCCCTGTCCTCGGAACAGGCGGGTAACAGGACCCTCCTTGTACCCACAAATAAGGGCGTGTGGCTCAACCCTTTTGAACGAAGTCTCTCTCTGAAGTGCCTCCAAGCTGTGGCTACACCCTAAACCCTAAACCCCTAATGGTCGGGTTCTTTCTTTGAGGGCCCGTTTACCAGCTCATCCAGCGTCGGCAACCTCAGGTTGAAGGATCCAGTTCGGGGAGGTTCAGGGTTCCCGATTTTCATGTAGCCCCAAATCCCTTGTAGGGCTTAGGGTTTAGGGGTAGCCCCAAACCCCTAGAGCAAGGTAGGCTATCTTTCACAACTCTGTTGTTACCGGGTGCAAAGCCTGGAACAATAGACTTGTGAACCCCAGCTGTGATTTACCTGGGCTTCCTGCTTCGCTGCTTTCGGTCTCGGAGAGCCGACCCATGAACCCTAAATCAATACTACCTAGACCCTTCAACGTTGCAGCTGTTATTGGACCCACTTTGTGGGAAGGATCCTAGAAAACGAAACTAATTATAAGGTAACCAAGAAACGTATTACATTTTGGGGGGTAGGTAAGACTCAGTCTCTTGTAGGCTCTCACACTAAGCCTTAGAAGACCTCCTACCGACAACACAGGCCACAAAACCCTAAACCCTAAACCCTAAGCAGAAGCCCTCAAACAAGAATGACCTGAGCTTTAGAAGCTCGTCTGAAGCTGTCCAGTACTGAAAACTGTACCCCTGCAGCATAAACCCTGAACCCTCCACCCTAAACCCTAAACCCTAAACCCTAAACCGTCCACGCTAAACCCAGACTCCTTAAGACCGACCAGCTCAGAGCTCGCCGCAAATGCCCAAAGGAAATCTTGGGAGGTCATGGGGAGCGAAAAGTAGGGTAGCTTGTAGGGTTTCATAGGGTTTATCGGTCACGGGTTTATGGTAGTTTTAACTTTTAAGTAAGTAGGGCAGCTTAAGTTGGGCAGCCATAATTCAAACCCATATGCTGGAGACTTCTAACCCCAGTCACAACTACCCATGAACATTCAAGTAGAACCGAAAGCCGACTTAACCCCCACTTGTAACTACCCATGCAACTCCAGGGATGAGCCCCGGACCCCACTGCATGTCCCGAGCAAAGCCCCATGGAGTGTTGAAGGTGTCTTCCTGAGAAAGCAGGCGCTAGGGGTACGGATAAGGTTCATGGGGTTTACGGGTACGTCTAGTTCAGGGTTTAGGGGCGAATGTACAGAGGGTTGGAGTTAGCTCTGAGGTGTGAGACAAAGACATGTTGGTTGGCTGCGATCTGCTGGCAGTGTGCACGAATTACATGCTGCAATCTGCTGCCTTTCCGGCCGCCCCATGAAAAAAACAAACCAGAATTTTAATCAGGAGTGTTCGCGTATGTTGACATGCGCATGACAAAGACCTTCACTCTGCTGCTTATGCGATGGGTCGGACGAAACTACATATTGCCGCTGGTTGTTTCCATTCGGCCACTCAACAGTCCAGGGCTTTCTCGCACGAGCAGTGTGTATGGAGCTGACACATGTGATGCCCTAAACCCTGAGCTCTGGGGTTGAGGATGGAATTCATTGAAGAGCCGCCTTGCGCAACTCTTGCCACGCAATTGACCTGTATGACATCCGCAGCAAACAATGCCTTACAAATAGAAACACATGTGTAGGATGGCACACAAAACTTTGAGCAACAATACTGACCCCTGAACTCTGACCATCCTTGGACGCTGAGCTCCAAAGCCATAAACACAAAAAACACCCCGCAACCTAAAGGTGCATAGCGAGAATCCGGATGAGTGGTGATTCGGTGCGTTCGATCCGCATCACTCCAGACCTGCTCTGCTGCCCAGCAGCAGCAGACTGAACACAAGGTTCAGGACTTGGGAGTAGTGCGAGGTGGCGGTATTGGCGGGAGCAACAGAAGTGTAGTAGTAGTAGTAGTAGTAGTAGTAGTAGTAGTAGTTGTTGTTGCTGTCGTAGTAGTGTTAGCAGAAGTCGTCATCGTCGTCGTCGTCGTAGTAGTGGTCGTAGTAGTAGCAATAGTACGGATAA